CTGAGAGGAATGGTTTTCTTAACCTTAAGTAAATAATGCACAAGTGAAGCTTATGCAACATAACAGAAGTCCAGTGAGTGTAGTGGGAGGGAAAGGGCAGTCTGCTCCCGGATCCCAGGAACCGGTGTGGCACTCCTTAGAGGAAAGAAAAACCTCATGTCATTACCAGTCAAACAGCATAAATGCCATGGTGGTTGGAATGGAGGTTGGGAGGGGGGAAGATTCATAGAAAGTGTGTGGTGTGTTTTAAAACTGGTTCAGTAGTTTTATTTAACATTACTGAATTATCACTAGAGTGTTGACATGAATTTAACCAATAAAGATGTGTGGTTGGGTTAGATTTGACCAGTTTACGGGACACCCAAGAAATGAGTGACTCTCACCAACAGCGGAGGCAGGAGATCCCTTTGTGTTGGTGTCAGAAGCGCCAGTTGTTAGGGGCTCATCAGTATAGCAAGCACTGTAGGTCTCCTTGGCAAACTGTCCCCGCGGCCACTTCCCTCTTTGGCCTGGGGATGAGGGTGTGCATGTTTGTTGTTGTTTCCTTTCTCCTTTCGGCAATTCTGACAAATTTATTTTTTAAGGTTGGTGCTATTTTAAAAAACATTTTGGACCCTTGTAACCAGGTAGGCTGTTCACCTGGGAACTATTTCTTGGAGGGTAATTGAAATTTAAAAACTTCTTTTTTCTTTTCAGGAAGTGCAACATTTCTTTAAAAAAAAAACAAAACGATTGAGAGCCTTCAGCTTTCACATTGTCATTACTCACTGCCATCGAGTCGTTGCCGACTCATAGTGACCTTAATAAGACAGGTAGAGCTGCCCTGTGGTTTCCAAGACTATAACTCTTTATGGGAATAGATAGCCTCGTCTTGTTCCCTCGGACCCGCTGGTGGCTTCGAAATGCTGACCTTGCATTTAGCAGCATAACCGGCAACCACTGTAGCAACAGGGCTCCCTCATGTTGTCATCAGGTGCCATCAAGTTAATTTCACCTCTCCTGGGACAGAGGAGAATTGCTCCCTAGGGTTTCCCAGGCTGTAATCTCTATGGGGGAGCCAATCTCAGGGTCTCGCTCCCACGCAGCCACTGTAGTGGGTCCCACTTGTCCACCTTTGAGAAGCATGTCACCATCACACCGCCAGGGCTCCTTCCAGCTCGCAGAGTTTCAGAGAAACAAGTGTGTTGTGGCTTCCTGCCAGGTGAATCCGAGTGGGAGTGGGAGCATGGAGCATGGCCACAGCAGCCAGGCCAATGGCAGGTGGGGATATCGAGTTTGGGGCTGGACCAGTTTGCCAGCCCCGCCCCACCATTCTCACCCTGGTTACTTCTAGGAGCCACAGTTAGTTCCTAGAACCCACCCTTTCAAAAAAATAAGTCAGATGTTAGATAGCCAGCCTCAGCAGCTCACAGACTCAGCATTTTCTTTCCTGTTATTCAACCTCTCCAAGTGGCAAACGTTTTCTGTCTCTCTAGAAACTGTGTGTATGGCTGCAGGGTCAGTTGCTCTTTATACCCATGGGGAAGAGAAGGGGGCACCCAGACTGACATGACGGGGTGAAGACAATGCTCGGGCCCACAGCAGACAAACACACACTTCTCAGCTGTGCTCAGGAAAGCACTAGGCTGCCGAAACTTGTTCGCTTCGTGTCAGTTACAGCCACAGTATCCGTGCATTACCAAAAACATCCAGAGCCTTTCTGACATACTTTGCCTTGTGAGTAAGTAGTCCCTCTTCCATCACAACGAAACACCCCCACCCCCACCCCTGGTATTCTAGTTTGAAGCTGACGAGAGAGAGCCAGTCACTTGTGATTGGGGGTATGTGACGCCCCGTGGACATTGTGACTGACTGTCGGCGCTCTGGGCTGCTGAATCCCTCTTCTGGTTCAACCTGGGGTTTCGGAGACCTTCGAAGACTGAGCCGCTATATGATGAGGGTTCTATTTTGATTCACCAGCCAACCATAGACAATTGTCCTTCCGGTGGTTTCCAAGAGGTTCAGAAAAGACAGCTGGCTTCTGTTTCCACTCTAGTAGTTAGCAACACTGATCTGTTTCGGTAAATGTAGGTCCCTCTGCATATCAGTCTTTGCAAGAAGGTCCATTTGAGGGCACTTTGTTCCTTATGAGCTCCCCGGTGATGGCTCAGTAGTTAAGTGCTCATCTGTTAACCCCAAAGTGGGGGGTCCGAGGTCCCCAGCGGCCCCACAAGAGGGTGATCTGCTCCCTAAACCCTCCAAAAACCAAACCCGCTGCCCTTCAGCCCGCTGTGACTCAGGTGTTCCACGGCCTGTGAGCTTCATGGATGCAGGTGGCCGCACCTCTCCCTCTGGGCTTCACTGCCAACCTTCCAGTTAGCAGCAGTTCACCACTGGGCTGCCAGGCTCCTTTGTCCATGAAGATTGCAGCCTGGGAAACCACCGGGGGCAGTTGTATTCAGTCCAAAAGGGTCGCCGGGAGCCAGAGTGGACTGGATGGATGCAAAAACCGTTCCTTGCAGTTGCACCAAACCCAAACTGACCGCCATGGAGTCAGTGCCGATGCAGAGCAGCCCCTGTGGGTCTCTGGGACTAACTGCTTATGGGAGTAGAAAGCCCAGTCTTTCTCCTTGAGCAGCTGATGGTTTCAACCCGCTAGCCCAACACATAACCTGCTACACCAAATTACACGACTGGTTTGCGTTCCCAGCGAGGCAAGAGGGAAGGCACACAAAAAGAAAAAGAAGTTAAAACTATTTTGCACCCCAAATTTTAGATTCTCTATATTTTTTTACTTGATAGCATATTATGTAAACATTTTCCTATGTTATAGATTTTAAAGTACTTTTTAATGATTATGTAATATTCCAGTGATTTTATATGTAGTCCATAGAATATATAATAGTCCACGTGTCATCATTAATGTAGTCCTTAAGCATTATTAGAATTTTAGTTCTTTGTGTGTATGTTACTATGAATGGATTGTAATGAGGATCTTGTAGAACATAGAAGTACATAGTACCACCTTTGGCTATATATATATATATATTTCTAATTTCCTTTAATTGAACAAAAAGGCATATATATATTTAAATCACTTTATTAGGGGCTCATACAACTCTTCACGATCCGTGCATACATCAATTGTGTCCAGCACATTAGTACATATGTTGACTTCATCATTCTCACAGCACCCGCTTTCCACTTGAGCCCTTGGTGTCAGCTCCTCAGTTTTTCCCCCTCCCTCCCCGCTCGCCCCAAAAAGGCATATTTTGATTTAAATAAAATTCTGATTATAAGCGAGGCACACCGGGGGCGTGTGTGTTTTATTTAAAACACATCTCTACAGCTCTCCTGGAATCTCAGTGTGTTACTACCATGTTGCGGTTGGGTGCCACCCACTTGGTTCTGACTCATAGTGACCTGTGTCCCACAGTTGAACACCCTGCCTGGACCCGCGCCACACTCACAGTTGTTCTATGTGAGCCCATTGTTGCCGCCAGTGTGTCACTCCATCTTGCCCAGGGTCTTCCTCTCCCTCGCTGCCCCTCTGCTTTACCAAGCATGAGGCCTTTTCCGGGCATGGATAGCCCCTGGTAACAGGTGCAAAGTGCAGGAGAGGGAGTCTCACCCTCCTTGCCTCTAAGGGTCATTGTGTCTGTATATGTCTTTTGGCAATCTGTGGTACTCACAATTCAAACGCATCAATTTTTCCTTGATCATCCTTATTCAGTATCCAACTTTCACATGTATATGAGGCAATTGGAAATACCATGCTTAGGCTCACCTTAGTCCTCAAAGTCGTCACACCCTTGCTTTTCAGCACTCTAGCAGTCTTGTGCAGTTGATTACCAATGCAATGCGTTGTTTGATCTCATGACTGCTGCTCTCATGAGTGTTGGTTATGGATCGAAGAAAGATGAAATCCTTGACAACTTCAGTCTGTTTTCCCTTTACCATGTTGTAACCTGTTGGTCCAGTTGTGAGGATGTTTATTTTCTTCACATTGAGTTGTAATCCACACTGACAGCTGCAGATCATGTCCTTGATCTTCAGCAGGTGGTTCATATCACTTTCAGCAAGCAAGGTTATGTCATTTGCCTATTGCTTGTTGTTAATGAGTCTTCCCCCAATCCCAATGCCTCATTCTTCATATAGTCCACTTTCTCTGATGATTTGATCAGCATACAGATTGAAAAAATATCATAAGCAGATACATCCCCAATGCACACCTTTCCTGATTTAAAACCATGCAGTATTCTCTTGTTTAGTTTCACAACTGCCTTTTGACCCATGTACAAGTTCACCGTATATAAAACACAGCGTTCATGATAGAGTTTTCTATAATAGTTTTACTATTTTAGGTAAACTTTATATAGTAGTTTACTATATGTAATATAGATCGTTTACTACATAGTTTACTATTCTATAATAGTATTTACTATTCTATAAAACTATATCATGAAAGCTGGGATTTCCGCACCACCCCCCTATTTAGTTTTAAAACTTTTCCTCTAATTTTGTCTTTGCTTGCTTCTGTAAGCAAGAAGGGGGCCCTGCCAGTGTGTTGTAGACTTTCTTCTTTTCTCCAGAGTCATGCAAGAAGACTAGGTTCTAGGCAGGAGCTAAAAGAGTATAGGGAAAAGAATGTTCATCAGGAAGCCAAGTGTGCCACCCCCCCACCCCCGCCCCAACACACACATACTCTTTCAGTAGAGGCTGTCCATGGGTGAGGACAGAGTCCCTCTGCCTGTCACCTCAGGCCAGGATCCCATTTGCCTGCAGGTTGGATTGCCACTGAGTTAAAGTAAGGGGTCATGAGTTCTAGTCCCAATTCAACTGCTGTCCACTGTCTGCACCAGGGTGGGGGCAGGGGCAATGCGGGCTCACCTACCTGAGCTGCTTCATCTGGAAGATGGAGGCTTTTAGAAAGACTGCCCTTGGGGATGGGGCTCAGGGGTTGCACCTTCTCAGGGTGAAGCCTCTCACCACCATGAAGACTTTCCCACATCTCATTGCAGAGTCTCGGAAGCCCCAGCACAGTGACGCTTCCAGAAACGTTGCTGTTTGTGTCAACCCTGGACGGCAGCTTGCACGCCGTGAGCAAGAGGACCGGCTCCATCAAATGGACTTTAAAGGAAGGTAATTTGGATTCGGTCCTGGGGTGACAGGGACATTGGCTCAACTGCTTCTGAGTAAACAGGTTTCAGAAGAGGAGCGGAAACGGTGAGACCTGACTTACTAAGGTACAAACGGAGAAAGGGGGGGGCAGGGTGAAGAACGCGGCGCTCCTAGCTCCGGTTGCTGAGATTGTCCAGCGGGCCGCTGAAGAGCGTGTGCTCCTTGTCTGTCTGTTGTCTCTTCCTCCGGCTAGTCTTCATGTCTCGATGGCTCCAGGCTTTTCTATTAATTGCCCTGGCTGGTTGGTCTCTAAAGAGATGGGTGGTGTTTAGGTTTTGGTAAGTTCGAAGCGATTAGCATCCTGTAATCATAATTAGATCTGTCAACACCTCAAATTGCTCATGTGTTTTCGTAAAGAGGCTTAAATAATCGCAGCCTGCCAAATTTGACAGTTGCCCAGGTTAGTCACTTTCCTGGGTCTCTGTGGTGAGGGAAGCCAAAGCTGAGCTTGTCCCTCCTTGGGCCCGCCCTGCGTCCGCCTCATGCCCTCACCTTCCTGGCGGGGGCGTGCAGAGCCGAGTCCCACAGCTGGGAAACTGCCCTTGATCTCCAAAGCTGCCTTCTCCAGGAAAGCCCCACAAGTGCTGGGCTCTGGGGCCCCCTCAGGAATAGAGAGAAACACAAGGCTTCCTACTCCTGCAAAGAGTGACCGTCTCGGACACCCGCAGGGGCAGTCCTGCTCTGTCTGACTCGGTGGCAGGGAGTTTTGCGTTGACCAGGAGGAACTCGCGCTCGGTCCTTGGCCGGCGTGTGAGCCCCTGTTCTCCTGTCTCTTGTGTGTGTGACTCATTATCTTCAGGCACACAGCAAATGTTTTTCTCTCCTCAATAAAATGTTCCCAAACAGCATCCTCGATGGAAAACACCGGCGCACGTCAGAAGGCCACCCCTAATCCCGTCAGCTCAGCAACGCAGCAAGCCTGGTTGCCACCGGAGATGTTGGCAGCAGGGCACCACAGGCCATCCTGCTTCTTCTGGGTGGGCCCAGCCTGGAGCAGCAGGAGCCTGGAGCAGCTGATAGGCTCAGCCCTCTGAGGAGGGAGCGGCCTTGGGAAGGTCAGAGAGCAGGGCTCCCCGTGGCCGGACAGGACCTCAGGCAGTCTTACTGCCTCTCTTTGTGCCTCAGCCTCTGTTTTTAAGTGAGAGCAGAGCCCTTTGCATTTCTGAATTTCCCATTTCAGCCGAAGGCAGAACTCTTGTCCAAAATAGGAACTAATAAGCCACCGAAGGACTGAGAGAGACGTTACACTGTTAATGTCAGGGCTCCCTCTCCAATGCCCAGGTTCTCACTCCAGCTGTCTCTGCGCCCACATCACTCTTCCCTGTTTTGTCCTGCATGGATTGTGTCAGATTGATCTTCCGGCTCCAGTGCCCCGAGTAGCCGTGGCCTGCTCCGGGGGTTGCTCAGCCAGATTGGGAGGACTGTCTGCCGTCTCCTGTAACTTGGAGCACAAGGACTCTTGTGCTCTTGGCCTCTGTTTGACTCCCTGCTAGGTGGAGTCTGACCTGTGGAAGGGAGTGTACCTGGGCACACAGTTGAAAGAGACCCTTCTTGGCCCAGAGGAGCCCGTTGTCTGAGAGGACACAGAATCAAGCAGAGGGCGGACCTCTCTGCCCGGAGTGACAGGAAATGCTGAGAAGGCCGTGGTGTTGGAGGGATCCTGGGGGGATGGATGAGGTAAGGACTGGTGAGGAAAGTCCTGGAGGCCAGGGAGCCCTGGGGGAGCGGACTTGTTTGGAGACTGGCCCATTTAGCAGGAGCATAGGGATGCTTAAGGAGCCGTGGTAGAGCAATGGCTTAAGCATTGGGCTATTAAACACAAGGTTGGTGGTTCAAACCCACCAGACACTGCATGGGAGAAAGGCGACGCTGTCTGCTCCCATGAAGATTTACAGTCTCGGAAACCCCAAGAAGCCGTTCTGTTCCGTGCCATATGGGATCTCCATGAGCCGGGATCCATGCGCTGGCAGTGGGTCTGGCTTTGGGTTTTAGGGCTGGTTGGAGGTGCAGTGGAGTAATGGTTAATTACCCTTTGGACTGCTGCCAGCAAGGTCTCTAGTTCAAAACCACACCAACCACTCCTCAGACAAGGCTTTTCCTCCCATCCAGAGTGACAGTCTCGGACACTCACAGGGGAAGTTCTACCCTGTCCTGTAGGGTCACTGTGAGATAGAATGGACCGGGTGGCAGGGAATGCATGTGTTCGCATTGGAGATAGCAAGAGGGGAGGGCTCAAGACGGGGATGTTGAGCCTTAAAGAAGCACTCAGGTGTTTGCACTTGATTGAGCAGGAAATCAGGAGCCATCCACATGACTGAACTTGTGGGGGTTGGGGTGGCCCCACAGGGGCTCTGCTTTCAGGAGATTAATCCAGCAGCAGTATGTGTGATGTGCCCAGAGACAGGAAGGCCAAGGAGACGTGAGGCCTTCAGAAGGAAGGGGTGGGGAGGAGGAAGAGGTATGCCAGCAATAGAACCCACAGAATCCAGCCCTGATTAAGGGGGTGGAGTAGGAAGGAGGGGTTAAAAGACACTTCAAAGAAGAATTATAGAAATCCGATTAAGGGCTCCTGATTTCAAGAAGCATTCAGTCTGCCCAAAGTCTCAGTATTTTTCTAAGAATAAACTGCAGGATTTCGGTTCATTTCAGCCATGGGCCCTAGCAGCCTCAGTTTGTGTTTCTGCCCAAGGGTCCACAAGTAGTAACAACTAGACCCCGCCTTTTCCAATTTACTTCTAATCTGGCAATTATCATTAAAGATGGAATCATTAGCGTTTCTAAATTCATAAAATTGTTTTGAGTCAGAATTGACCCGACTGCAGGGTTTTTTTGTTTGTTTGAATCCGGTTTTGGTTTCTCAGCCATTAGTATAGGGGCAGACTGCAAAGGCATCCAGGCCCTGAGGCCACAGGACGTGGCAAAGCAGATGAGCCCGTGCTGTGCCCACAGCCGTGCCCGCAGGGAGAGCTCATTCTAGAGGGGACCAGACAAGGACATGCTGATAAGGAGTGGCGGCCATACGGGGCCTGGAGGAAAGAAACCATGGAGGCGGAGTGTAGGGTGGGCCTGGTTGAGCTGTGGTTTTAAACACGTTAGACCCCCACAGAGAAGGCATCATTTGAGCCCAGACCTAAGCGAGGCAGGAGTCTCTCCATGACTCGTGTCATGTGATCAGAGGTACCCATAGCGGAGAAAGAGGCCATGTGTGCTGTGGGAGCCTAACCCAGGCTGACAGCAGGAGGGGTGGAGCCGACCTTGGAGCAGTGCTTAGAGGACGCGGGGAGGAATCTATCCTTTGCTGGAGTCGTGTGCACAGGTCCCCAAGGACTCGGTCAGGGGTGCCGTGCACCCTGTCAGAGGAGCTGGGGTGGTGGGAGGGTAAGGATTGTCTGTTCCAGCCCAGCAAGCTACTAAGCGAACCTCTGAGCCCTGAGACGTCCCTTGCTGTGTCTAGAATTGGCAGGAACAGTGTGATCCAGGAAGGCGCTGGCATCAAAGCAGCCGCGCGTCCCATGGACGCTGGCATCTCAGGTTGGTTCGCCAGCCTGTCACGGGGACTCGGCCTGCCACGTTTATTGTCTTACAGAATTATCAAAGTGCCAGTAGTGAGACTCACGGCCATTGAGGCGATGCTGACTCCTAGAGACCCCATAGAAACTGCCCCCGGGGGGTTTCTGAGACGGATTCCCACAGGAGCAAAAGGGCTTGTCTTCCAGGCTTTCATAAAATGAATAAGTAGAAACAAGCCTTTGGCCACTGAAGCAATGCCAGCTCCCTGCAGCCCTATGGGATCTGAGTAGAACTGTGCTTCCGGGGCTTTCAAATGGGCTGGGGTTTTGAAAGGAGACTGCCAGGCCTTTCTTTCGAGGTGCCTCTCGGTGGACCTCCAGCTGACATCTTTGCACCACCCAGGGACCAAGACAGAAGGCATAGCAGGGGCGCAGCAGAGCACTGTCACCACTACTGTCAAGTAAGAGGAGCCCTGGTGGCATAGCAGTGAGCATTAGGCTGCTAACCTCCAGGTCAGCAGTTTGAAACTACCAGCCACTCCATGGGAGAAAGACGAGGCTTTCTACTCTTGTAAATAATTAGTCTTGGAAACCCACAGAGCGAGTTCTACCCTGTCCTGTAGGGTTGCTATGAATCAGAATGGACTCAATGGCAGTGGTTTTGTTTTTGTTTTTAATGATCATATAATGAGACTTATAGACAGTGGCCTACCTACATACTCAAACTCACTGTTATAGAGCCGATTCTGACTTATCACAACTCTGTTAGGGTTTCCAAGGCTGTAACTCTATTATGTATACATAATTTACATATATAACACATGTGTAATATATACATGTATATCATACATGCATAGGTATGTATGTATGTATGACTCAAAGGTCACTTAAAACTGAAACATTGGGAAGTGCACAGCGTTAGTCACATGTCACCTCTGATGGTGGTGCAGGCTTGCAGACACAAACTGAGACCATGCAGAGAGCCGTGGCCCTAGGCTGCATTACCTGTGGGGTCCAGGGTCCAAGATGGGGAACAGTTCTTGGCAGCATTCCAAACAAAAGGAGGACAGCCTAAATTGGCTTCTGTGGTCGTTACATTTTAGTGTGTGAAATTATGCGAAAGGTGCTTGACATACAAAACAGGTGTTGTCATTGTTGGCGTATGCTATAGAGAGAGAGAGTCCATTTTGATTCACAGTGTTCCTGTAGGACAGGGCAGAACTGCCCCAAAGGAGATTTACAAGGCTGTAATCTTTACAGAAGCAGACTGCCACGTCTTTGTCCCTCGGAGGGGCTGGTGGGTGTAACCACAGACCTTTTGGTTCATCCGCCGGGCACTTCAACACTGTGACACTGGGGGTCCCATCAGCTGAGTGGTTGTGGTCCCCTGCTCTCGAAATATGTGTAGGTGTGGGTCATTATTAAAGTGCAGGGTGGGGGGTAGTGCTGATG